GCTGTAAAGGTTTTTTTCTGCATATCTGTTGTAGATCAGTATGTAACCTGCTAACATTAGCGTAGATTTGTGGTCCTAGTTAAAAGCATTGCATGTATAAGACTAAGTATTCAGCTTCAGTGACGTGCTGCAGACTGGGTTCACATTAGCACTCTCCCCAGAGGTGCTGATCATATATGAAAGTTGTGCTAAACTTGAAGAGGGCATGACATGCATTTGGACACCTCTAGCCAGTGCTGCTGCCAGATGAATGGGTATGAGAAACTCCATTCTTTTACAGGGAACTTAACAGAGGTAATTAAGTAATCAGCAACTCACCATCAAGAACCTGTCCAGTGAGTAGGGGCGGGATGCTACATGTTTCACCCAGCATTTTAACCTGAAAGACCCCCTTGGATGTGTGCAATGCCAAACCTGCCTTTTGGTGCTAAGGAAACAACTAGCAGGACTTCTGTCAGTCACAGTCAGGAGGAATGTTTCAGGGGCAATTCACTGTCAAAACAGCCAGCTACCTAAGCCAGCTGTTGGCACTATCCACAGCCTGCACTGAGACAACACAGAGATTAAAAGCAATAAATTTTACTACCACTTTCTAGCAGTGATGCTATAATCTGGGGAAATTCCAGGAAGGATCATGGCATGATCTCATAGAAAGTTCTGGTGAAAAAACATCTGGAAAAAATGACAATGAACATCAGTGGCAGTGGGGGGGATCTACCACAGGCTAATGACTAGATTTTGAGAAATAAGAGTTGTTGGCCTGATGTAGCCAGTAAGAGGAGTCTTGTTGCCAGCCTATGTTGCCAGGTTTTCATGCAAGCTCTCCCTCAGTGAAAACAGGACCAGAGGGTGTTCAGCTGGTACCACAGCAAGCCAACGAGTAGATCATCCTGACTGTATATGAAGGAATCAAGCTCTAAAAAGATTAATTTGGCAAACCAGTCACACAAAGAAATATTTCTTTCCAAAGATTTAGGGTAGCAGAGTAAACCAGTTCCATGGTTATTTTACTTAGCAAAGGAATCTGTGTTGCATTTGATAACATTTGATAAATTTGTTTTTTAAAATGCAAGAAATTTGCACGGCTGTTGGGACTGCAGAAAAGTGAAGTGCTATTTGAATTAACAAAGAAAATATGTTGATAATTAAACCTTCACAATAATTGACATATTTTCATATTTCAACACTTCTTTCCAGGCGCCGTTATACTACAAAGATAAAAATTACCTGGACTGTATGTACTTAGGTTTGTTTTTCTAAGACAAAAGCTGACATTTTGGTCAGAAAAATAAACACCACCAGCCAAAAGTTGCAAGTCTACCTATCTAAGGGAGGGCCCTGAATCCTCTCTTGGGAAGCTAAGGAAAAGTTACCTTATTTTAAGAAGCATTTTACATCTGCTTGACAGTCCAATGGGAGCACTGTTAGGAGATGATGACTTTTCAGATAGTTCTGCTTTTGCTTCTCAAGTCTGGATTTATAACCCTGACTTCAGTTACACTATTGAAAAGCAATGCTTTTCAGGCACCAAATTTGCTTACCAAATACTACTTGCAGAGCTACACTAATTTTCTCACTAAGGCTGATGAACCAGTATTTATACAAATTAAAAGAACACACTAATCTCCTTTCAAAGACCATGAAAAAGGCTGCTTAACAAGTGGAGGAAAAGAAAAAAAATGTAGGGCAAGAAATGTAATTTTGAGTTTCTATGAAGACATCACACACAATATAAGCGAGACCAAAAATAATCTCACAATAGAACCTGACATTAAAAAAGATTACAGGGGGGAAAAAACTGCACAACCCAATCAAGTTGGTAAAGCCTAATTAGCAAAGACCCACCCAGAGATCAACAAAATGCATTCTTCTCATTTTGTAGTACAAAGAAGCTGCTTATATTACTTGTATTAAAAAGCCTCTAAAATGAATTTAATTAACTATGAAAGGCTCGATTTTGCCTTTGGGTATATGTAAAAACAGCAGCTGATTTTACAAGATGCACTGTGATGCCTGATTGCGTAGCAAGAGAAGAATTAAAACCTTTAGGTTTCATTGCCTGTCTGGGTTCAGAGAGAATTCTGTGGTCCAGAATTTAATTAGATTTGGCTGCCATCACAAAGCTTGGGTCAGCACATGAATTCAAATTCACACAGGGGCAACAGACCTTTGTATATTTTGGAATCCGATTTGCAAGCTATAACTTGAGAGTACCACTTAAATTTCAGGGAGCACCCAAGAACACTGTCCATTCTCAGGGAACACATGGGGCAAGCCACGCAGCTGAAAGTATGAGATCTGTAAGGAATGTATTACAGTTACACAAAATTCAGAAAAAGGCTGAAGATTATTACACTGTTTGGCAACAAAACAATGCATATGTTTACTATATACTGTTCATCTTCCAATTCTTTAAATGCGAGTAATTGTTCAGCTACAAGAGTACTTTTCCCACAGTTGTATAAGCACAGAAGCAAAAAGGAAATTTGAGATTTAAAATGAGTGAAACTAAGAGATTCAAAGGAAGAGCTACTGACTGTGGAGTGTCTCCTCTCTCTACCTCCTGCTTGGCTACCAGGGAGTTCTGGCACTCGCTTCTCTCCCTCCTCTCTTCAGGAGCTCTCCTACAGGCAATCACATTAGGAGCCTGAGCTTACAAACCCTAAATCCAAGCTGCAGACTCTTAGCATGCCTTGTGAGCACCTCAGCAGCAGATGGGACCTCTCTCCTGGGAGAATTTCAACACGTGACTGGGAATGGCCCCAAGCAACCCAACCTAACTATGATGGAGACACTGCTCCAAGTCCAGGGTGGAGTAGGAACCTCCAAGGGTCCCTTCCAGGGCAAATTTTTCCATGGCTCTATGTAAGGCGTAGTGCCAACCTCACACATGCCTGACAGCACTCAGACCAAGCCACCTGCCCGCATCAAATTGCTATGGATGCTCCACCCCCCCGGCATATGTAAGGGCACAACCTGTCATCTATGAGCATTTCTCAGTAGGTCTTAGCACGGGCGTGTGAGCACTGCAGCAAGCCCAGGCCCTCAGCCTTCCTTACACCTCCTTCAGGATCTGTTTGCACAGATGCAGGCTTTAACTTGCAAGCACCCCATATCTCCAGGCTTGGATGGTTTGAATGCCTCCAGGAGTAGAGTGGCTTTCCCCACCTCTGGATTTCTGAATACAAGTCATACTACTGCACAGATTCCCTGAACTGGTGTCCTAATGCCTTAGTGTCCCAATTCAAGGCCCTTTCTAGGCCCAACATACAGACAAAGCCAAGTCATTCCCCTGTCTGGCAGCCTGGGATATGTCCCTGAATGCCAGCAAGTCCCAACAGTGCTGGGTAGGGGAGGAAGCCAAGAGCCTTGACTCACACCAGCACTCACCGCCCTGGGCTAAAAGGTGTCCATAGATGATGGTAAAAGGCTATGCACAACCTCTGGCAACTCATACAGTAAGACACTTGTGATCAAGGGAAAGATAGATGGCCCTTGGCAAGAACCCAAACTTCTACTTTTATGCCATTCTCTGTTTTCCTCACTCAAAAAGCTTGTTGGGAAACAAAAGGCTATTTCAACCAGCATAGTAATACCAATATCCCCCTACAAGCTGGTTCCTAGAAATCCTAAAAGAAAATGGGGTCTGGCTTACCAAAGAAGCAGCCATTCTTGACTGGCTTCTGACAATAAGTCAGGCCCACATGTCAGCTTCAGCTTTGGCTTCAGTGACTTCTGGCAGCATTTTGGAATGCCCCAGGGCATAAACACATTCCCTAGGGCAACAAGGTTGTCCTGAGAGCTGATCATTCTGACTGGCCATGCCAATTGTCTTCTGCCATTATGGTTTCCCCTCATGGCATGACATCCTATTGCTATTGAGAAGACTCTGAAGGCTAAATGAAGTGAACAAGCAGGAAATTTGGCTTTGAGGATGATGCCAGAAGCACATGAAACAGTACAGTGTGGATGTACTCATCAGTTCTACCACAGCAGAAGTAACTGTGGACAGTCACCATAGCAAATCACTTTGAGAACACACTTCTTTTTTACAACAGACTGGGGAAAATATTGGAAAACATATGGCAGAACACCTTTTCTCTACTGCTGTTTTTAAATCTGTCAATGTTTTCTTTAACCTTTGATCAAACACCAACTACTGTCTGACAAATGTTTTGCCAGTCATTGCACAATGGCTTTTCATAGGCATATAATGACACTCAATGTTAATTTCCTCAGGAACAACATTCTAAACACAAAGTTTCCCTCTGTGGGAGTGCAACACTGCTCTATATTAGGAAAGGAGAAAGGATGCTCTTTTGAAGAAAGCATAGTACAAATACTGAGAATACATGGGCTTTAACAGCTTTTGCCATAGCTGTCCTGTTTCAGATCGTGAACAGATCATTTAGATCTACCTCCACAAGAATGCTTGACTCCCAGAGCCTTCTGACATTACTATTACAGTGCCTTTTGCTATTCTGCATGTTGGCTTCCCCATCAGCAAAACTAGACTTAACCTCTCATGTTTCTTTCAGTCAGGATAATAATTGCCATTGGTTTAGGAAGCCCATCCTGAGAAACTTTCAGCCTGATTGATTCAGGACTTCTGAAAGTGAGTTTCAGACACCTTGGGATATATGGACCTATATATCTGTATGTACCCATATACCTATGGGTATATGAGAACTGACCTGTACAGAAGAATCACAGCTGTACTATTCATAAACAATGAAGCTTTTTGAGAGCTTTTAACTAAGAGCTCAGAGCTGAACCAAGGCATCAGCTAACAGGATGTGTCTACAGGGTATGCATGTAGATGTGCATGCATATAGTAATTTCTATGAGTTCTTCATTACCAACATAGTTATTTTTCTCCAAGAAACTCAGACGATATGTACTTAAACAGGTATACTCCACCGCAGCATGGATGAAAAACAATGAGAAAGGAGATCACTACAACTTGCCTGTCTATGGCAACATGCTTGAGAGCATCTTACCTTGACATGGTGTATCAGGTGCTCAACTTCATTCACTTTATATGTCTCTATTCCCAACTCTTTAGATAACCGCAGGAGACGATTTTGTGTTGGCCCCACGTAAGCTCCTCCAAGGTCCACATATTTAACTTGCTTATTCTAGTTTATCACAGACAACACACAAAAGGAAAAAAAAATTACAAAAATATAAGCCCTTTGTAAATAGTACATAAGTTAAGAGAGCAATCCACAGGGATTCTTCAAGTGAAACACTCCCAGAGCATTTTGGCCAAGATTCCTCTCCTCATGGAAAACTTCAGTTCTTTGGTGGAGTTCTGGTGTGACAATTACAGAGAATCTCAGATAAGGAGTTCATAACCAGCTTAGCTGGCCTGTTGTTACATTACAGCCTTGACAAACATGAGAGGAAAGAGCTTGGCAGGCAGAGAGAGAAGGACAGAGCCGAGACACCTGTGTGTTTCTTGCTCAGTCAGGCATCTCACCAACAACTAGTTCAAAACAGACTGTACTAGGAAGTAGCACAGGTAAGATCTTCTAATGGGCAGAGTGGGAGGGGGGTCTCACAGGTCAAGGTAGGGCAGAAGGTAAAGGAGTGAAGGGAGAGACGCTGGTTCTAGCTCCCAGCCACCCTTGCCATTCCTCTAGGCTACATCACTCCCCATGGGGCTTGTTACGGTTCAGCTCAAGACTCTACATGGCATGGTTGGCCTTATGGGTGTTTCTTCATAGAGATTTCTCCAGTGCCTCTCCCCGGGAAATGATTTGGAAACTTAGCTAATCATGTTCTCCTTCCCAGAGGAAAGGACTGATGATGCCAGAGGCTGCAGATCACACGGAAATATTCTGGCCCCACCATCATGCCAGGCTTTTTACAAGATCAGGAAATTTCCCACCTGCTAGTGCTCTAGAAATTTTCCCTCAAGTAAGTCCTCTAGGAGGAAAGATAAATAAATACATTTATGTATGCTATTCATATGGTATATGTATACTATACATGTGTATAATTATACATATGCATAGTATATACGAGATGTACGTATATGCAGTATAAATGGGTTTGGAGATAATTACCCTCACAGTGAAGGTTCTTCCACCAACTCTGTCATTGGCTTCCAGCAACACCACGTTCAAGCCTGACTCAGTCAGCAGTTTGGCTGCTGAGAGACCTAAAAGATAAAAAGAAAAACAATTAAAGAATACTTCTGTATATGCACCCTATAGCTTTTGTGACTTGACATATAAACATTCCCATAGCTATCCATCCAAATCCTGAATTTTTCATTCAAACACTTTGCCAGGGGTGGAAATTAAAAAAAACAAAACAAACCCACTCCACACCCCCAATAATCATGAAATGGAACTGAAGCCACATATTAAAACAGTTTGTGGTCAAATTTTACATGAGCCAAGCACCTTTTGCATCACATGCTCAGCTCTTCTGACGCATAAGCCAGCATTTGTGATGCTGGCCAGCCAGCCAGGCACAGGACTTGGGGAGGACAGCTTTCTGTTTTCTAACATCAGCATGTCATCTTTTATAACCCCAACAAAAAAAGGAAGAAGTGAAGTTTTATTAGGACTGTCCTAAATTTCAGAAGTTTTCCTGAAGCTTGTTGTAAGCGTCTGCTTCCCAGCTCTGGATATTTTAAAGTACACATCAGCAAAGTTCCCACACAGTCAGGTCACAGGTTTCTTCTCCTGAAGAACACAAGGTCTGACTCAGAAGAGACAGAATGTGTGCTTGTGTGTGGCAACAAGAAGAAAAAATATGAGTAAGTATACCCCAAAAAATTGTTTCATTCCCCATCCATTTTCTTCATATGCTTTTATTTCCATCTTGCAAATCTTGAAGCTGAGACACCAAGAGAGGGAACAATGGGAATACAGGAGGGAGCATCTCATTTCTGTTCTCATGCCACAAATCCTCATAATTGCAGAGGGAAATATTAGTGTCAGGCCCTGCAGCAAGTGTGACAAGCTGCTATGGGAATGAAAGGAACTAGAAAGGGTGCACAACATGGAGGGAATACAGCCCGCAACCTCTCAACTTCTTAACATCATCTCTGCCTTTTACTTCAGCACACAAACAGATTTATATAAACTGAGGTTCTTACTCTGGCCACATGGGAGTGAATTCTAGTGGGGCGACAAGTTATATTCTAGAGGGTTGCATCATCCTCTTGAACTGATGGGATGTGGTGAATAAAGTTCAGTACAGACCAGGCTAGAAGCCATGCTTATACATTAGAATTTAGCTATTCTTTCCGGCTCTTGCCTTGTCACCATAACAAGGCAATCAGTTTCCTCCCTGTGTCCTAGTACATGTAGTTTTTGAGGAGTCATCTAAGCAGATTGTTCCAAGCATAAGGCAACCATGGAAGAAATGGCAAAAGCACTGGCAGGAAAAGCGGATGGCCAGAGCTAGCATGGCAGGACTGAGTGAAACGATAATGAAGAAAATATAGCAGGCCTGGATAGCGTGTTAATGAGAGCTACTAAAGGTGCTATAGAACATCCAGTCGTCAACTCCTGACTTGGGAATAGGAGAAGCAGGTCCCGTTCCCAGCACTGCAGTGACACTGCTGCACTGTGCTGGTTAAATCAGTTAAGCTCTTCGTTTCTCCATCTGTAAAAAAAGACACAATAGTGTAGACCTATCTGTCTAAAGGATTTGACATTTTCTGAAGAAAAGCAGCAGATGTTTCCATTAAAAAAAAATCATACTGTCTTGCTTTTATTTCGAAGAAAAGCAGCAGATGTTTCCATTAAAAAAAATCATACTGTCTTGCTTTTATTTCTACCTTCATGGGCGTATTTATCTTGGGTTTTCACATAAGTGTTAGTGACAAAACCAGTAATGACACTGATAAAGGTCTTTCCATACTTTGTTATTGAGGAAATTATATTGCAAAAGCATCTGGCTGGATCAGTGGCCTTGACTACGCTCACAAATATTTGAGGTTACCAAGGAAGAACAAAATACAGAAAAAGTCATGGTATGGAAACATGGACCACCCCTTCAAACAACTTGCAGAAAGATTGGCTCCTGAAGGAAAAATAGGCAACAAAACTCCTAAATAAATATGGCTTACTAGTTAAAGAGAAAAAAAAAATTTGCTCTTCAAAAAAGACAAATATTTCATCAGTCAGGAGAGGATCAATAGTAGTTATTAATGATTTACAGAATGAATACATAACCTGAAGGCTGTTGTCAGTGCAGATTTCTGTTGGTTTATCATGCTAACAGGTATTAACTAATCAATTAACAATATTCAGTTACCAACGCTGAATAAGGAATATGAGATTTGACTTTATTAAAATCTAATGAATAAACATTTCAGTACAGCTGGGAACAAAGGCAGCTTATTGCCAAGCACTGAGCAGAGAGAGGTGCTTGTGGAAGGACAGCTCTCCAGACTCAACTGAAACGCAGACGATTCGCAGTGCTCAGCCCAGATATCACCTCCTTGTTTCCTTATGCGCCTTTTACCCACCCTATTGCACCCACCTACTATTCACTCCCTACTATTTATTTTGGGACAGGTGCCACCACCTTTTTTTTTTTTTTCCTCCATACATTCACAGATGTACCTGTTAAGAGATGGGTAACAGTTTACTCTTTTCCAACACAAATACAAAAAAGCAAGCCAGTGTTGAGGGAAGGATCAGGCTCATTAATATCTTGCTGCCCCGTGCCCATCCTCCAGCATATCAGATCTCTGCAGGGGCAAGGATGTGTCCTTGGGGCTTGACTCTACAGTAAAAGTTGCAGCCTACAGGGTTCCCAAACTAAGCATCACCTGACCACTTCTTTTTTTTCAAGGGCTGGTGGTCCACCCCCTTCTCTCACCTTCATGCCAGCTCTGTTCTGGAGAAATTATGCAGACAACTGCTGAAAAAAGCAGGGAACGCAGCCTACCTCTAGCTCTTCTCCCTTGTCACTAATGGAGATGCCAAACATGTAACTGTGGGAAAAAGGTGGAAGAAGTGAAAGCAGAGAGGCTCTAGAGGGTCAGGTGGCACAGGAAATGACCAGATCAGGGCTCGTAGCACATCCAATACAGGATAAGGCAAGACTGCTGTCACAGATACCACATTACAGTGCAATATTGACAGGCAGGCATTTTGCTACTTTTTGTATTTCACACATTTGGAATCACGGTACTGCCACATCAGCCCATACATGTTCCCTGGAGCTGGACCCAAGATCCCAAGTGGGCTCTTGGGCTTACTATAATAACAGCAAGAGGTCTGGATGCTGCAGAGGGAGAGCTCTGAGCCGAAGTGATACAAGGACAGATACGGCACCAGGAACAGCAACAAAAACATACTAAAATGGAAACGAATTAATAACATTCATAGCACATGAATATTGGGGCATGAGGCTGAGGCTTGCTTTTCAGAAGCTAAGAAATGCTGCGGGAAACTCCTACAAACCACAAGCTCTTTTCTAGACAAGAGTCAGAGCGGCCTCTCTGTGCTTAATACACCAATTGCCACAAACAGAGCATGGATGAAGCCCATGAAGCAAAGCCTGGAAAAATCTGTCACACGTGATACAAGATCTCCTCCTGAGCAGTTTAACCCTTCACAAGTTTCACACATTTCAGCACTGCCTCTGGCTTACCTCACACATCACCAACAAGTGGCAGGTCTTGAGGCAATCAACCACACTCAGATGTAAAATTCATCCAAAAATGTGACCGATGCTGTTGCTACTCCCTTTTTCTGCACAATGTGTTGTCACCCAGTGGCACCTTCCCCTCCTCCCCAGGAGCTTTTCAACAGAATCAGACCTGAATTGCAATATAAGGGCTCAACCACTTTTGCCACCACTTCACAGAGGATGGTAATTGGGTCCAGTTTCCACTGCAGGACAGCTTTCTTCAAGGGGCAACAGAGCGCCATATATACAGCGGAAAACATACAGTTAAGCGGCCTCACCTGCAGCTCTGCTCAGAGAATCAATAGGCAGATAATTAATGCAGACAACAAAGAAGCCAGGATGATAGGTCTTATTTGAAGCCCCAGACTGAAAATACCTTTGTGCTCAGATGATGTTTAACCAGGCAAGCCTTCCTCCGTTACCATAGCAACCTGGTACCCAACCGCAGCCACTTGGAGATACTGGCAAGAGATTGCCTCCCCCAGAATTTTATAATGCAAGTTCAAGCCATGAAAATTGTTTCTCCATCGTGCAGCACTCGG